GGCAAGACCCACGAGTGTTCTGTCTGAGATAGATGGATGTCCATTAGATGTGGATAAAACAGTGGAAGGCCGGCGAACTGAGCTGCAGAGTATGACTGCTCACAAAGCAGGGAGAGTGGTTGGAGCAGACGAGGCTCAGAAGTTTGCTCGTCAGCATGGGATAAAGATCATCCCAACCCGATGGGTCATAGGCCCAAAGGTGGTGAATGGCAAGGAAGCTGTGAGAGCTCGGTGTGTGGTGCAAGACATCGCAAAGGGGAGCACAGCATCATCTTTAGGACTGAGTGCTACGACTCCTTCTTTAGAAGCGTTACGGACGCTTTTGGCCATTGCTTCGGTAGATGCTATGGATATCGCAACTTTGGATGTTAGCACTGCATTCTTGCATTCCCCCCTTCCGAAAGGATCGAAGGCGATTATCCAATTGCCCAAGGATGTTTCCGCCTGCAAGGACTATTATGTCCCGGTGTTTATGATTCTGGATCAAGCCATGAATGGTTTGAGAGTTGCCGCCAAAGCTTGGAACTTGAAGCTGGCGACAGTTGTGAAGAAAGTTGGGTTGAAGCAATGCCCAACGGAACCTTCCGTCTTCGAGGGCACTGTGAGAGGGAAAAGATTCCTCATGTTGTGCTATGTGGACGATTTGATTCTGTGTGGCACTAGAGATGCCATTCGGTTGGTGACCGACACCCTGAACGGAGAGTTGAAGATCAAGGAAACGGGTCGAATCACTTCCACTGGTGGAAAGATCACCTTTTTGGGGCGAGAGATTGAGAGACAAGGGAGTCATCTCAGGATGCGAGTGCCCCCGGCATACTTAGATGCCCTGTTCGAGACAGAGTTCTGTAAGGACCTGAAGGTGGTTACTGCTCCTCCGGACATCGTGAAAACGGTCGAGAAGGGCAGAGCAAGTGGTTCGGATCCTGAGTTGAGTGACACTGCAGCTGCGAGGTACAGAGCAGTACTTGGCCGGATTGCATGGTGGGGTCAGTCGAGACCTGACCTGAGTAGGTGGATGTCCATTCTTTCGCAAGGACAGTCCAAGCCAACAGCATGCTTTGAGCAAGCATTGCGACAAGTGATTAGGTTCCTAAAGGGACAATACCATGCATGGCAGTACTTTGGCCCTGATGGGAATGTACCGGACAGTGGGCCGGCGCAGCTGGAAGTGTATGCGGATGCCAGTTGGGCACCCCAAGCGTCGTTAGGACGAAGATCTGTGTCGGGCATAGCCATCTTTTATAGAGGATGCCTGATCAAGGGAATCTCTCGAGTTCAAGGGTGTGTATCGCTGAGTTCTTGTGAAGCCGAGTTGAGAGCCATCTTGACTGCGGTACAGGAGAGTGAGGGACTTGCGACTTTGATCGGTCAGTTGGCCGAGTCAGATGTCACGATCCGATTGCACACTGACAGTTCCTCAGCGAGAGCGGTTTTGCTAAACCGTGGGTTACCGTGGGTTGAGTAGGCGAGTTCGCCACTTAGACATCGCTGTCTGCTATCTTCAGGAGCGGATACAGGAAGCTCAGACCTTGAAGGTCATTTGGTGCCCGACAGCGGGAATGATCGCTGACGTTCTTACAAAGTGCTTGAGTCAAGTGACATTCTGTCAGCACCAGCAAGCTATGGGTATATACCCTGGTGAAGATGTGCAGCAGGTGTGGAGGATCTGTGGAATCCGACCAAGGGTTGGAGTTCAGGCATGCCAGTGTGCCGAGGCAACTGGATGCAGTGTGGAGCAAGTTGGATCGTTGAAAAGTGTGAAAAAGTGTGGCGAAGTTTTTGAAAATTTCCACCTTAGAAGTCCCGAAACCCTTCGTGAAGACTCTTCCCCTGAGGTTCAAGAAATGGATTTATGGTCCAACCGCAAAAGCTTTGGTTCAAGCACCACGGAAGCTAGCCCTAGCCTGGAGCCTGTACCTTTGGTGAAGGACAGGAAAATGGCAGCTGAAGACAGCAGGAAGGGTGAGCAGGGTGCTGAGATGAAAAGCCCCTTTTGGTGTAAGGTTTGCAAATGGTTGTTCAGATCCGAGCATGCTGCCGGGTTGAGCTGGGATGAAAGTGGCAAGCCCAAGTGCGAAAAGTGCAAACAGACTGTGACAGTCTCTGGCACGGATGCAAGCCATGCATTCCATCTCCGAGAGGCAGAGAAGGAGCGCCGAGCTGCTGGAAAAAGGGGTGATAAAGGTGAAAGCCGAGGCTCAGGCCAAGCTGCACCGAAACCCAAGGCCATGCCGAAGGTGATTGAACGGATGGTCGACGTGTTTCCGGAGCTGGCGGATCCAGAGCCGCCGAAGTGGTTCGGTGATGTGTCATGGAGTATCTGCCGGCGCGGAACTCCAGTGGATGAGCTAGAGCTCAAGGACGTGGTAGGCACGCTATCCGACAAGGATATGTTGCGCTATCAAAGCTCATACGAGAAGCTGGTGAAGCCCATCCAGGAGGTGTGTGAGCTACAGGAGAAACCCACGAAGATCTTCGGAATCTTGGATGTCCGTGGACAGATTGGTGGCAAGGCCATCATCTGGGAGATGGCAGTGAATGAAGGAGGACTGTACATGGAAGTACCGCCGGGAACGTGTGGCCTGGCGATGTTGAGCTTCGTGAGGTACTTGAAGAGAAAAGGGATAGTCCCTGTTTTGCTTCTGGGTGAGCACCAGGACCTCGGAGTCTTGCGGATGGTGGATCTGTTGTGCATGCTACCCATTTTGGGAGCAGAGAGGATCATGGAGGATGAAGCTGAGAGCTCGTATTATCCCCCATGGGTGTTGCGCTGGAAGAGAAGTGCAAAGGAAGGATCCTTGGTGTTTAAGGAACTGGTGGAGCGAGTGCGAGTGATTTCGATGTTGTCGTGTGATACACTTCGGATTCACGAGCCGGAGCTGAGGGAGAGACCAGTCCCCAAGTGGTCGTTTGTGGCCTACAGCCACTACAGATCCGTGATGGAGTCTGTTGCAGGATTCTTGGAGGACCTGGAGAAAAAGAAAGAGGAGATCACCGACACGCAGAGGGCGGCAAGCTGGAAGAAGGTGGTTGCGAGTGAGACTCGAAGCGGTGTTGTGTGGATCTGCAAGTGTAAGTGGCACTTGCCGACCGACTATGTGGTGAGGTTCAACTTGACGTTGCCTGCCGACATGTGGCAGCAAGCCTTTGGGATCATGGGTGAGAATGTTGGGAAACTCGAGAAGGAGGAAAAGGACCTGAAGCGGATCCTCAAGGCTGCAGCGGAACAGCAAGACCGAGAGTTCGAGGAAGCTGAGCGAAAGCGCAAGCGCATCGCCGACCTGTCAGCTGCCGAGGAAGAAGCTGCTAAGAGAGCAAAGCTGGAAGGCGAAGCGGTTCGCTCGCCTGTGTCAGTTGTACCATCTGAGTTGGATGCAGCAGCTATCGCGCAGATTGCTGAGCGTGTGAAGGCAAGCTTTAGTGTTGCCGATTTGGAGCTGATGTTGGAAGAGAAGAAGAGAAAGGTTGGAGACCAGCCAACTGAGAGGCCTGCGGAGACGCCAGCTGAGCCTAGCCGATCTTCGCAGGATGTGATGATGGAAACGAGGACGGCTGAGTTGGCGGAGATGAAGGAAGCCGCCAAGGAGCGCCGCGCCAAGTTGATGGAGTCAACTGGAGCTGGCGAGAAGAAGGGCGAAGAGGATGAAGAATGAACTGAGATGCTAAGTGATCTCAGTGGTTGGGTGGGTGAGTGAAACCCGCAGCCATTTTTTTGGAAGCCATGGCCGCGTTGCCGCCATGGAGCGCCCGCGATTTTTCTGGTTAGTGTGAGCCCTTGTTTCAGTGCATGAGAAGTTTGCAAAGAGGAGGCAAAATGATGATGAAACTCAACGAGGGACTCTATAGCCCCTTCTGCAAGGCGTCTGATTGCCACCTCTGAAGACGTTTTTGGCTGATGGTACGCTGGAAGAAGTGAAACTATGAAGCCAATCTTTTCCTGAAGGATCAGCTAGCCGATGCTAGTTGGTGAGTTTGGTGACCTGGAAGATGCGAGACTGAGGAGGAGTACCACGACAAGGTCGAGTGCTGAGTGGGAAACATCTGAAGCTTGCATTAATTCGTTTTCACGTGTTTGTCACCACGAACTCTTGGATTCGTTCCAAGACAACCCTGCCCCAGTGCAGGTGGATGCAAGTTTAATTCGTTTTTCGCACACACTCTTTTGTCTTTTTGGCCTGGTGTGCGTTACAGCCGTTCCACATTTAACCGGCGGGTTGCCTTGGAGGCACTTTGCCAAGTCCGCCTAATTTTGTCCAAACTTAGAGCACAAGTTGTGCCTTCCTCTGCCTTGGAGCCTAAGGCTACGCTCAAGAATTTTGCAATCTCCATGTCAAATGTCTCTAAAAATCAACTGAAAGAAGGCAGCCAACAAGATTAGAGGTGTCTTTCGGATCACCTGTTCAACCTTGGCTTAAGTTTCAAACAAATCTCTTTTTCGAATGCGCTCGAATGGTACACACAAGGTCTAGCGCATTGGCGTTTGTTATCATGTAAAGGCGGGTGTCTTCCTAGTCAAGTTGGAAAGACACTGGGCACGGTGCAACCGCAATTGCGCCTGTTGGGCGGCTTGGAAATGCAGGGCTTCTAGTAAGCGTTCCCCTTATTTGAGTTAGGCCCAGAAGGTTGGTGTTGCCGTCTGTCGTGCCTTGTTGGCGGCGTGTTTACCGGGCGGGTCGTCGGCGGGCTTCGGAAGGCTGAGCAAGTTAGAAAAGGGGTATGGGCAAGAAGACGGAGAAGAACTCCTGATCCAACATGTACTTGGCTCCAATGAGGGCTGCCTGGAACTTGATCTGGTCAAAGTCCAAGTGGTGGATCATGATGGTTCTGGGCGTCTCTAACTATGCATTCTTGGCCGTCTTCAAAGCACAACATGGTCCCGCAGCCGATGCGTGGGTCCACTGTGCTCCATGCCAGCAGAAGAATTGAAAGCTCTGGAAGGGTGATTGCTGACGTTGAGCAAGAACTCAAGGTTTCTATGACGTGTGCCTCTTTCCACGTAGAGCAGATTGGATCGAATCGGTGAAGTTCTCTTTGTCCCAGCGCATGGAGGCATTGGAGATGATTGCGTCAATGAAGGAGGCGCAGAAGCTGCGCCGGAGGCTGAGAAAGAGCTTGAAGGAGTTTCTCTGTCCGTTGAGATGCCCCTAAAGGAGCTGAAGGAGCTGTGTGAGAAGCTTGGAATCCCTAAGAGTGGTGAAAAGCCGAAGGTGCTGCAAAGGCTGAGGAATCATCGTGAACTTCTTGAGAGACAGTTGGCTGGGGATGTTGCTCGAGCTCTGTTTCGGGAGCAAGAGAGGAGACCAGAGGGGCTCAAGGCCCCCATTCTCCCCACTAAGGAGCAGCAGGACCTCCATGCCATAACCCATCAGCCGTTCCAACCTTGGTGTCAAGCATGCGTCCTGGGGAGAAGCCGACAGTCGCCCCATAAAGCAGTCAGCCTCGAAGCAAGGGAAGAAGAGGTAAAGAAGGACGCAAAAGAGCTCAGGCCAGTGATCCAGATCGACTACTGCTACACCTTCACAAAGAAGAGAGGAGAGCAGCAGCTTGAGGAGGTTGAACAAGGAGATGAGGACCAGAAGATGGCAAAGGATGAGCTTGACTATCGGGACCAGTATGGTCTAAATTGCTGGCAGCCGAGTCGTCAACAGGTTGGATACAGTGCATACCTCTGTTGGAGAAAGGTGCTTCCTCGTTGAAGAAAGTGACTGAGGCGATCACTCGACTCAGCATGCAAGTTGGAGGTGGCGAAGAAGTTGTGCTTCAAGGCGACTCGGAGCCGGCCATCCAACAGATCCTCAACAGACAAGGACAAAAGTGACACCACGAGGTTCTCATGCTTCCAATGATCAAGTGGAGAAAGCAGTCAGCGCTGTTCGCAGAGGAGCTCTTACCCTCAGGGCCCAATTGGAGGAAAGGACCAAGTGTGCTGTACAAGGACACTTGCCCATATTTGCATGGCTCCTTCGTCATGCAGCCTTCGTCCACGCCGCTTCTTCGTTGGTTCGCGAGGCGGTCCTGCCTTCGAAGCCCTACAGGGGCGAAAGTTTCGAGCTCAGATGTTGGCTTTTGGAGAGTCATGCATCTTCTTCAAGCCCACGAAGTACAAGGGCGATCTGCAGTGGAAAAGGGGCATCTGGGTTGGTCTTTCAGAGAAGAACGGTGCCCATGTGCTCTTGACGCCTGAAGGAGCAGTGGAAAGCAGGTCAGTGAGGAGGAGAACCAGTGGGATAGCGATGGAGTGGTGTCAGCCCGTGGTCTGTCTTGGGACTCTGGGAAGTCAAAGCGAAAGCGACCGCTCTACACGGGTCGTACGCCGTTGCTCCCTGATTCAGCCTCCTTGCAGGAGCTGGCCAAAGCAGCTGGTAGAGCTGCAGCTGAGTCAATAGCTGCAGGCACTCCAAGACCACCCGTGCAGGACGAAGCAGGTTCGGATGAAACATCAAGCTCCTCAAGCCTGAGTGTGGAAAGCCCAAGCCCCATGGAAGTTCCCACAGAAGAGGCGAAAGCAAAAGCAGTTCCCACAGAAGAGGCGAAAGCAAAAGCAGTTCCCACAGCAAAGGCGAAAGCAGAAGCAGTTCCCACAGCAAAGGCGAAAGCAGAAGCAGTTCTCACAGCAAAGGCGAAAGCAGAAGCAGTTCCCACAGCAAAGGCGAAGTAGAAGCTATTCCCACAGCAAAGGCGAAAGCAGAAGCAGTTCCCACAGCAAAGGCCAGTCCGTGTTCAACAATGGATACAAGTTCCCGACCAGTCCGTGAGGAAGATCAGCCTGCGCTACCAGTCCCACAAGGAAAGCGAGCAAGGCTACTTCTTGACAGACCCTCTGGCAGCACGCTTTACCCTCCCGGCTTTGCCGGAATCAATGAAGTTCATGGTGACATTCCTATCGAAGAATGGGCAAGCTGGTAGCAGTAGTAGTAGTGGGAGTAGTAGTAGTAGTAGTAGTAGTAGTAGTAGTAGTAGTAGTAGTAGTAGTAGTAGTAGTTGTTGTTGTCGTTTCTTGAGAGAATGATTCTAAGTTCCACCCCCTTTGTTTCTTGTCGTCCTGCGAAGCCTGTAGAGGAGACCCAAGGAGAATTACTCTCAAATTCCTCCCCCTGGCTTCTCGTCCTGCGAAGTCCGTAGGAGAAGAGAGGCGAAGAGAATAGTTCTAAATTCCATCCCACCTTGTTTCTCGTCTTGCAAAGTCCGTAGGAGAAGACACCCCACCTTGTTTCTCGTCCTGCGAAGCCTGTAGAAGAAGAGAGGAGCAGAGAATTATTCTAAATTCCACCCCCCCTTGTTTCTTGTCGTCCTGCGAAGTTGTAGAAGAAGAGAGGAGAAGAGAAGGCGAAGAGAATAGTTCTAAATTCCACCCCACCTTGTTTCTCGTCCTGCGAAGTCCGTAGGAGAAGAGAGGCGAAGAGAATAGTTCTAAATTCCACCCCGCCTTGTTTCTCGTCCTGCGAAGCCTGTAGAAGAAGAGAGGAGAAGAGAATTATTCTAAATTCCACCCCCCCTTGTTTCTTGTCGTCCTGCGAAGCCTGTAGAAGAAGAGAGGAGAAGAGAATTATTCTAAATGGGTGGAGTTTTTTTTTGGGTCGCACGACTTAAATTAGCGGGGGGTTGGGGTAGAAGAACAGAGAGAATAGTTCTAAATTCCACCCCACCTTGTTTCTCGTCCTGCAAAGCCTGTAGAAGAGGAGAAGAGTACTATTCTAAATTCCACCCCCCCTTGTCTCTTGTCGTCCTGCAAAGCCTGTAGACGAAGAGAGGAGAAGAGAATTATTCTAAATGGGTGGAGTTTTTTTTGGGTCGCGCAGTTTTGAAGCAAGCTTGCACAACTTAAATTAGCGGGGGGGTTGGGGGGGGCGCAGCCCCCCCATTGCACATACATGCTCGCATCATTGGTTTTATGGACGCTGAAATTTTGATGCTTCTTATATCAGGGGAGCTTAGGGGAGGGGTTAGGGTTGAGTTAACTCGAGCCCCACCCAGGTCCGGGTTGGGGTCAGGGTTAGCTTGAACTTGAACCTTACCCGCCAGGAGGGGAGGGTTGGGGTTTACCCGAACGCATCCGGGTTGTGGTTACGGTTACTACCACTACTACTACTACTACTACTGCTACTACTACTACTACTACTACTACTACTACTACGACTACTTTTTCACTACTACTACACAATTACTACGACTACTACTACTACTACGACGACGACGACGACTACTACTACTACTACTACTACTACTACTACTACTACTACTACTACTACTACTACTACTACTACTACGACTACGACTACGACTACGACTACGACTACGACTACTACTACTACTACGACTACTACTACTACTACTGCTGCTACTACTACTACTACTACTACTACTACTACTACTACTACTACTACTACTACTACTACTACTACTACTACTACTACGACTACGACTACGACTACGACTACGACTACGACTACGACTACGACTACGACTACGACTACTACTACTACTACTACTACTGCTACTACTACTGCTATTACACTACTACTACTAAGAAGAGTGAGTTTACTTGACGGTATGGTTTTTGTTACTCGATGTGCTTAAACGCATGGGTTTTTGCTGGTTTTGCTGCTTTCTGGGGGGGGTGTTGTTTTTTCTTTCTCCTCATGTCTGCTTGCACTGACTTTTCGCGATGAATGTTCCACGACTTACACCGAGTTGTCGTTCACACAGAACTTTTGAGCTTCCACTTTAATTCGAGATTTTAGGTGTTTGGGTTTGTGTTGCTTGTTGCTCTTTTTGTTTAGACTGGGTCATTGCCCTGCTACATCACGTGCCCCGATCGTTCATGCAAATCTTCCAAGTTCAGAAGCTTGGCAGGTCTTGCGATTGACCAAGGGGAACCCTCGATCATTCCCACTCACTTCAGATGGACAACTTGAGCCCTTTGAAGGATCGTTTTTCATTTCACACGCTGCACGAGAGTCTCGAGTCTAGCGGTCTTGGGCTGTATTAGCCCCGCCGGGAGCAGTATGGCACCAAAGTGCTGCATACTACGGATAAAGTGTTGAGCATCGAAATGCCGTTAACAAACCTCGGACTTCCTAAGAGCTGGGCTCTTGTAGCCACAGTGGAGCCACTGTTGTCATCATGAATGTTGATGTCAGCAGCGCTGATGGCTGCTTCAGGTTCATCCTGTAAGCCTGTTGTGGAGACGATCTCAAAGGCTCCGTAGTGCCCTATGACCCTATGTGAGCTGGGTCGCCTATGTGAATGATGCCCCCAATGAGGGAGTAATGGACATTGTGAGTTGCACGAACCTGTTTGGGTCGGGCTCTCGGCCCACTTGTGGTAGCCGGAAGGCTTCTCCTAGCGTCAAATAGAGGCATGATCACCCTGCGCTGAAGTTGTACGCGGTTGCGCTTCTTCCTGACACGATTGCCAGAGAATTGGAAGCGCGCTAGACTGATGAGAAGAATCTCAGGCTGCCTTTCCAGCTGTTTATAACTTCTGAGCATACCCCGCGGGCTTGGGTTGAGGGTTCGGGTTGAACTTTGTTACAACTCCGGGTCCGACCCCGGCGGCGGGGGGGGCTAACCCGAACCTAGGTTAAGGTTTGGGTTGCCCCGAACCCCAACCCGGGCTCGGGTTCAGGATAACAGATAGCCGAACCTCAGGTATCAGGTCAAGATAATCTGAACCCCAACCAGGGTTAGGGTTGGGCCTCGACCTCAACCCAGACCTGAACCTAGCATTCGGGTTAACCCCAACCCTAACCCCTCCCCCAAGCCCCCCCCCCCTTCCAGGGTTAGGGTTGGGGCTCTCTAACCCGAACCGGGAGTTGGGTTAGAGTTCGGGTTAACCCAAAGAAGCCAGGGGTTAGGGTCGAGCTAACCCTGACCCCAACCTGGATGCGGGGTTGGGGTTCAAGTTAATAACCCAACCCTAACCCTGACCCCGACCTGGGGTTAGGGTTCGGTTAACCCCAACCTAACCCTTGCCGAAGCTCCCATAAGGAGCCAGGGTTAGGGTTGGGGTTTTCCCCAACTTTACCCCTTCCCAGACCTGCGATGAGGGCTAGTAGTAGTAGTTGTCGTAGTAGTAGTAGTAGTAGTAGTAGTAATAGTAGTAGTAGTAGTAGTAGTAGTAGTAGTAGTAGTAGTAGTAGTAGTAGTAGTAGTAGTAGTAGTAGTAGTAGTAGTAGTAGTAGTAGTAGTAGTAGGTAGTAGTTAGTAGTAGTAGTTAGTAGTAGTAGTAGTCGTTAGTAGTAGTTAGTAGTAGTAGTAGTATCGTACTTTGCACCATTTGTTATATGACTACGAATACGTTTGTCGTGATGTTATTATACTGTTACTACACTTACTACTACTCCTACTACTATGACTTTTTACTATACTACTACACTACTACTATACTATTACTTACTACTACTATACTACTTACTATACTACTTACTACTACTACTACTACTTACTACTACTTTTTTTATTACTTACTACTAATACTACTATTATTACTACAACTACTTACTATAAATACTACTACTATTATACTACTACTACTATACTAAATACTACTACTACTACTTCTACTATTATTATTACTATTACTATTACTACTACTATTACTGCTATTAAACTATTATTTTTACTACTACTACTACTACTACTACTACTACTACTACTACTATGATTCTTATTACTACTACGACAACGATTACGACTACTATTACTACTACTACTACTACTACCACTACTACTACTACTACTACTACTCCTACTACTACTACTACTGCTATTATTACTATTACACCACTACTACTACTACTACTACTACTACTACTACTACTACTACTACTACTACTACTACTACTGCGACTGCAACTGCGACTGCTACTAGTAATAATATTACTATGACTACTGCTACTACTATTATTACTACTACTACTACTACTACTCTTACTACTACTACTACTACTGCTACTATTACTACTACTACTACTACTACTACTACTACCACTACTACTACGACTACGACTACGATTACGACTACGACTACGACTACGACTACTACTACTACTACTGCTACTACTGCTACTACTGCTACTACTACAACTACTACCACTACTACCATTATTATTACTACGTACGACAACAACAACAACAACAACTACTACTACTACTACAACGACTATCGCTACTACTACTACTACTACTACTACTACTACTACTACTACTACTACCTCTTCTAGTGCGGGGCCCCTTAATTCGCAAGCCTTTCTAGACTTTGTACGTAAGGGTGTGCCTGTCCCTGAGAGCTTGCAAAATTCAGTCTGTCGATCATATCCTCGATACGCAGCAGTGTGGAGACAAAGTTTCGTGTTCACTTCGCTCCCTCGGGATATCCTGCTTGAAAACCTTTCTTGGGACTCCACGCCCCGGAATATTCCTGGAATGACGGCGGTCATTCAATTCATCAAGGATGGTGAATGGGGTGTGCGATTTTCTCGTTAATCATGGCTTTTGTGGTGGGTTCTTGACTCCTGGACTGCCCATGTCCCGCCTCACTAGGAGAATGAAAACTTACATGTGCAAAGCCACGCAGGCCTGCGGCGTGGCCTTGGCCTGCGTCCCTAAAACCAATATCCACAGAGAGTTCTTGGGAGGAGATGTTGCTGGCATTGTA